TTTGCGATGTTATTTTCGTTAATAAAAGTTATATTATGCAAGATAATAAAATCTTTTAAATTATTTGCATATACAGTATTTACGTTAATTCACGGTATCGTATAATGACTAAACACAAATCACGTACCCGTTCCTTACGATTTAAGAGATTACTAACTCTAGAGAATCACTTATCTATAATAAGTAACCCATCAAAAAAATGGCATAAATATTTTATAATTATACAAATTGGCAAACCGCTAAGTATAGGACCCGGTCCTAAAATTTTAAATTTTAAGAAATTCTGGGATTCCAAGGGGTTTATTATTTATATTATTAAGTAGCTCATTAAAACATTATAATAGACAAGTTTAATAATAAATTTGTAAAAATAATTCTTTGTAATTTTCTTGGGACTTTTAGGGCCGATTAGGATCCCTACTATTAGGGATAGGGTCTGCAAATTAATCCGACCGCCACATTAAAACAAAACATTTGTTCCAACAAACCTCATCCCTGATCATTAATTAAATTTTACTTGACAAGGATAATCACATGACCACATGGCAAAGATTATTAGATAATTTTTCGGGAAAATATCACCGAGCTAGCGATTAATAACCAAAATGGTATTAACCGAGGACATTATTAGATAATGTGCAGTTTAATAGGTTATCGCTGCATAAGTGCGTTTCCAACAGAGTGGATTATCATGTGACACAAAAACCGTCGTTTCATTACTCAAATGACAATGACCCGTCATTTATTTGAGCATAATGTTGGCAAGCACTTAAGATTTGGCCTTCATTATGTTTTTTTTTTATTTTCCTTATAACAGTTAAATCAGAACAAAAATACCAAATTCCAAATTACAATATCTTCATTATTTTATGTTTTTTTTTTCATTTATGAGCGGTAAATATATTTAAATTATAATATTTTAAATTTATGCTAGATCAAAAATTGGCTTTAGGATCATACTTTTGGCGGGTTTAAATGTACTTGCACGGAAGATGTGTGATTATTTCTCTAAACAACGATCTGTACCCGACCCCACGAACCGCATGAATTTACAAAACGTAAAGCTAAAAGAATCAAAGAATTAGAAGCTGTAATTGAAACCGAGATACAATTTCTCGATTTTAGTAGTAATTTTATTAGCATAGTTCTTAGTTTTGAAAATGAGAAATTTAAACTAAGAGCAAAGGTTTAATTTTATTAACAAAATTTTACGTGCACCAGTAAAATATATAGTTTAAGTAATATCATCAATCTTTGAAATAAAAGAAACCTTATTTTTATAAAATATATACAAAAAATATATTTTTATTTAGCAAAATTTTATTTTTATTTCAATAAAATATATTTATAAAATATACATATTCATGGTAATAAACAATAACAATTTCATATAAAAAAGGAACACGATAGAAATTTAAATTGTTGTAGCTATAAAATAAGTTCAAAGAGATTGATAAATTTTAGAGATAATTCTAAGTTTGGTTCAATTAGAAGATGTTGAATATAGGTAACTTACCAAGAAATTTGTTCATAATTTATTTTTTGGTTTCGCAAGAACATTTACCAGCGGCGCAAGTGCAGCTTTCTCCGCATCCGCATGTGCTATATAATTAATGATTCAATACATTTGGAGAGTTAATATTTTCATGCAAGATAAAAAGCAAATAACCACGAAGTAATCATTACCTAGATCCGCAAGAAGGATCAGTATTGGTACGTTGAACGACTTGCTCACAAGCGCAAGTCAATCCACATGCACAAGAATTTCCACAAGAACAGTTTTTGCACATTTTGTTAGATTGGTTTTTTTTTTTTTTGTGAATGGTTTTATTTTTTGTTGTTTTCAATTTTTCAATCGTGGTGAAAAGCTGGGTGAAAAAGAGATGTATTTATATTGTTTTTTTTATTTATTTTTCTTTATTCTTTGTTGATTAAAAATGATTGATTTATTGGCAAAAATAACTCATTGATTATGAATCGACTAAAATAGTTAAATGAATCGAATAACCAAATTTTTTTTTATCCTTGGCAAAAATAACTCAAACGAAATGATCGGCATTTAATTTTTATGGAAACGGCAAACACCAATCACATAAATGCCTCAAGTCCCTAGCTCGGAGCTTTGTTCACTTCTGTCTAGCCTGATCGACAAATTATACACAAAAATGTCGATCCATATCCATTCTTGTTCAACGTGATCATTCACAGGTATAACAAAATCCATCCGCCAAGCCCATTTATGTGATGCAGAATCAAGAAGATTAACCCATATCAATAAATCGTTCAGGTTTTTTGAATACATTAATTTCTATCACTATGGGGAATATTAACTTTGGAAAGGTTTGAATCGAAGATTTTTAAATAACCAGTTCATCTCTTAAATTCCTTTTGCTTTCGCTAAAATTATTCATATACTTTTATTACGTCATAGCAAAAGTTTATATAGTCTTTATCGCTTTAATATAAAATATCACGTTTCGATAATTTAAAAAAAAAATAAAGTTAGGAAAAAAAATACATATAGTTGTGATGATCAAATCATTCTTAAATCGTAAGCCAAAAAAAAAAAATCCAGATAAAAGAAAAAATGCAAGAATAAATTCGTGCTATTACGATTTACAAATATCAAGCCCATGTGAATTTTTCTATTTCTAGAACTTATTCTTGTCAATAGCTCATATGCTAACAAATGATTGAGATAAGGAATATTTAAGTTATCGAAGAAATGATATCTTCAATAATCAAAACTTTTACCTAGATTGAAATTTAATGTTCGTCAAGAGGCAAATTCGGTTTTATTTTTCAAAGGTATTTAAGTGCTCAGAGAAGAAAATATTGAAGACGCGTTTCAATAGAGATTTTAATTTTTGTAAATGAAAAATAGTCTTGAGCGATCTTTAAGATTTCCAATAGCCTAAATCACTCAATCTTTAACTAGTTATGTTACGGTGATTAACATCAGCACAATCTAATGACTTTAGAAATTTTCATCCAGGAGGTTATTCAATTAAGATAGATGTAATTCAAATAACATTTTATTACGCAAAGTGTACACGTGACCATAATTATAGTTACAGTCTAAAAAAGGAAAAACTTAAAGTTCTCGAATAGTTAACGTTAATATATGAAAAAATTTTTAATAAAATATTAATTATTTTCTCTATGGATATGATTGATAATTTTGTAAAATTTTAAAATATTTATGGAAATAAATTTAATAAACCGGTTAAAAATGTAAGGGCAATTAAATCTGTTTAGAGTTTGTTACTTTAGCTCAATTTCTTTCACAATACTCATTCAATGTGACCCCAACTAACATAAAGGCTACTCAAATATAATAATTTAATCAATTTTAAATTATCATTTTTATTTATAAACATAATTTCTAATGCTTTCTAAATAATCTTTATCGATATTAAGTTTACCATCTAATTGTAAAATTTTAAATTTTACTTGGCATAAGTTAAGACCATCATAAAAGTAAAAATCAAAATGTAATAGTAACATATTTAACTCATTGCAAAATAATAAATTTTTTCCAAAGTTATGAGAATCTCATCATGAGTTATACCGTATCTACCATAAATGTATACTAAGTTCCTTTAAAATATTAACTTCCTTATTCAATTGAATAATAAACTTTCTCGATTAAAACATTTGGATATTTTAAGGTGCGTGAAATTAATACAATTTTGTGGTGATTAATGCGTTAATAATATCACTAGCAGAAAATGTTAATTTATCACTATAGAATGTTAGAATGTTTTTATAAACATTGCTGTTGACCAACTATTATCTAATAAAATTAATGAAATTTGAATGTTGATAAATCATTAAAATGTTGTAATTCAATACCTTTACAATGTTTAAACATTAAATTTTTTAGATTGGCACAAGTAACCAATCCTTTTAATGAAGACATCTCATTAAAATTATTTTAATGTATATGATAAGTTAGGTTTAAATAAACAATCATTTACGATCCATCTAAAATTTGATTACTTTTGCCCATAATTTAGGTGCTTTAAGATTTGATTGAGATTAATGATATCTATGCCTTTTTCGATTAATTCGTTAATCGAAATACTTAAATTATTTAAATGTTTGCAAATTAATGGAATTGTCTTTAATCACTAAATGTTTCAAGTATGTTAATCCTGGTTTATTATAGATTGTTGTTGTTAATAAATTAGGAGTTATTAAATTTTCATGTGCTGAAATAAATTCTAATGAAGTTAAAATAAAACTACATCTCATAAACATGCTCTAAAATTGTTCAAATAATTTTCTATTTGCAATGATCTTGTTAAATATTTTCCATTTTAAAAAAAATTTTGTAAGAAGTTTTGGGATTATTAAAGTTTTATCAGTTTCTTGGTGTTCTAACCACCATCGAATCGATATCCATAAATCAAATTGTGATAAGCTTTTAAATATTTCGCATATGGAAATAACGGTGTAGTCTCCTCTTCCGTCGTTAAGATGCCCTGTGAGATCAACAGGGATTTTTCTTGTTGGTTAAGACATGAAATGTACGTCCAAATTTTAATCTTCTAGACTATTTGCTTGGTCATTGTAATGGATATTTCCATAATATTGGGATAACCATTCTACACCTCGTCTATACACGACAAGTAATTTAAATAAGGACTGTTTATCATCTTTAAAATATTTTATAATATCGTATATGCAATCACCTGATAATAAAGTGAAATATATTTTTTTTAAATAAAAAAAAATAAGGGGACCCGACCCGAAATAGGGTTTGTTATTTATTTTTTATTTTTTATTGGACCGATTAATTAGGTTATTGGTTGAGTTGTTTACATATGAAAGGCATTACTATTAATAAATTAATGGAATCATTACGTAATAATTGAATTCTATATTTGCTGATAATTTATTATTTATTACTAAAATATAAAAAGAATACAAATAAATAAATAAAATAAATAAAAAAAAGCTCGTGATCTATTAATCATATAATGATTTCGTTTTGTTTAAATAATATCGTCTGAATCGTTTGAATTTGGCTTATTTAACTTTTCAAAGGCTTGTGCTAAATAATACAAGTTAGTTATTATTAACTAAAAAAAAATGAAAAAATGCATTAAGTAACTCACCGAAATCATTCTTTATATCATCAATATGTTCATAACCTACAGAAACACGAATTAGGTCCTTTGTGACTCCAGCGCTTATAAGTTCTTCATCACTTAATTGTTGGTGAGTAGTTGCTGCCGGATTTATGATCAAAGTCTTTGCGTCTCCTACATTGGCCAAATAACTAAAAAAAAAAAAAAAAAAAATAAAAATAAAAAAAAAAAAAAGAAAAATTAAGTTACTATTGAAATGATAATACAACACTTTATTATGATGATAATCGTACCTAGCAAGGTTAAGAGAATCAATCAATTTGTTACCAGCTTCAATACCATCTTTTATACCAAAAGCTAATACACAACCAAATCCATTTCTCATATATTTTTTGGCATTTTCATGATAAGGATGGGATTCAAGACCAGGATAAGAAACCCAGGACACCTCATCACGTCCTTCTAACCATTTGGCTAATTCTAAAGCATTATCCGCTTGTCTTTGTACACGTAATGATAAAGTCTCAATGCCTTGTAATAAAAGAAATGCCCCGAAAGGATTTTGACATGCACCAACATCTCGCAATATTTCTAAACGGGCTTTAATTATAAAGGACATATTACCAAACATTTCCCAAAATATCGTACCATGATAACCCGGTGAAGGGCTTGTAAACATCGGAAAATTTCCATTATTCCATGGAAATTTACCACCGTCTATAATAACACCACCGATTGTTGTACCATGGCCGCCAATCCATTTTGTTGCACTATGAACTACGATATCTGCTCCGTACTTAAATGGTTGAATTAAATATCCTCCCGCTCCAAATGTATTATCCACAATTACTGGAATTCCTGCTTTATGTGCAATATCACTAATTTCTTCAAAATCTGGGATATTAAATTTTGGATTTCCCACAGATTCAAAATAAATAGCTTTGGTATTTTCGTCAATCAATTCTGCAAAATCTTCGGGATTATCACCGTTAACAAATTTCACATCAATTCCCAATCGTGGAAGCGTAACCTATTTAAATACATATATAATTAACATATATATATATATTTTTCATTTACAAATAATTAAGTTACTTACCTTAAATAGGTTGTAAGATCCACCATAAAGATAACTTGAAGAAACAATATTATCACCAGTAACGCAAATATTCATGATTGCCATAAATTGCGCCGCTTGTCCTGAAGATGTTGCAAGAGCTGCGACACCTCCTTCAAGTGCTGCCATTCTTTCTTCAAATACGTTTTGTGTGGGATTATCGATTCTAACAAATAAATAAATTTTTAGAAAAAGTTATCTAAAATTTAATGAAATGCAGGAAAAAAAATTTTATCGCCACTTGAAATATTATACCTGCTATAGATATGTCCAGTTTCCTTCATACTAAATAATGCATTTGCATTTTCAACATTTCTAAAAGTGAAAGAAGTTGTAGCATATATCGGTACAGCTCTTGCATTTGTTGCAGAATCTGGTTTTTGACCCGCGTGAAGTTGTAAAGTTTCGAATTGAAATGGTTGATCGATTCCTAACGTCATTTTATTTGATAAATTCAATTTAATTTACGTGTTTTTTCTAGCAAACAAGTTATCTTTCAAATAATTAGATAAATTGATTTGTTGTTTCTTTATTATTTGCAAAAAAATTTAAATTCTTGACAAAGGAAATACGAAGTAAATTTCTGCTCTTTTTATAAACTTTTTTTTCCTTTCAAAAAAAATAATAATTGCACGTTATCAAAGTCATTATTATTTTATGAATTTAATCTCCCATTTTCTCAATCAAAAAATCATTCAGATGACTTCGCATTAATGGCTTGATCTTTTGTAACGAAGATAAAATTTATTATTAGTAAGTTTCTTTCTGATTAACGTGTTTGTGGCGGTGCTATAAGACATTACCTAATTTCATTATGTACCCAAATGAGTAAGTACCACATTACGGCATATGATTTACTATGTCGATTAACCATCCAATCATCGTGTTAATGATATAATAAAAGAAAACGAACAAAAAATAAAAAAACTAGTGATGCCAACGTTTTTCGGTAGAATCGATTCTGTAAAAAAATTCAAGCAGAAACAGCTCTGATATTTTCAAACGAATGATCCAATGTTTATAAATACTCTAATAATGACCTAACCATAATGCAATTTGATTCATTAATTATCGCAAAAAATTTATTAATAATAAATTATGATTGCTATTCGATTTAAGGGACTACTACAAACAACTAAATAATAAAATTTAAGTTTTACATATTAAAATAGTAAACGATTCAGTCAAAAGATTACTTAATTGGAGAAAACCACGTAATACAAGTAATTTAGTAGTTGCACCAAATTTTCGATTTGGATCAATCATACGCACAAGTTATTTACTAAACTAATTAGGAAATAACGCAAATGAGCCTCATTCATACCCGGTTTCTCTGACTTTTTCGAAAGCTTGTGCTAATGAATACAAATAAAGTATGAATTTAAAAATAGTTGAAAATAATGAATTAATAATAACAATTATTAATAACTTACCGAAATCATGTTTTATATCATCAATGTGTTCGTAACCTACCGAGATACGAACAAGATCTTTTGTAACACCAGTAATTATTTGTTCTTCATCAGTTAATTGTTGGTGAGTAGTTGCTGCCGGATTTATAACTAAAGTCTTTGCATCTCCTACATTCGCCAAATAACTGAAATATATTGAAAAGGTTAACATATAATCGGATAGAATATATTGGGTTGATTGCGAGAAAAATCAGGTACCGGAAATTTTTTAACAAAATCGAGATTTTTATTGCATTTTAGTATTGATGTTATTAGATTAAAATGAATTAGGCTCTTAATTTTAGTCAAATTTCTCGGAACCTAATTTTCCTAGAATCATCCCATATAGTATATTTGTATATTGTGATGATACATGCACCTTGTAAGAGTAAGAGAATCGATTAATTTGTTACCAGCTTCCACCTTTCATTCCAAAGGCCAATACACAACCAAATCTATTTCTCATATATTTTTTGGCATTTTCGTGGTAAGGATGAGATTCAAGTCCAGGATAAGAAACCCAAGAAACTTCTTCCCGTTTTTCTAACCATTTGGATAATGCTAAAGCATTGTCCGCTTGTCTTTGTACACGTAATGATAAAGTCTCAATACCCTGTAATAAAAGAAATGCCCCGAAAGGATTTTGACATGCACCAACATCTCGCATTATTTCTAAACGTGCTTTAATGATAAATGATTTATTATCAAACTCATCCCAAAATTTGATGCCATGATAGCCAGCTGAAGGATCTGTAAACATCGGAAATTTTCCATTATTCCATGGAAATTTACCACCATCTATAATCACTCCACCGATTGTTGTACCATGGCCGCCAATCCATTTTGTTGCACTATGAGTTATAATATCTGCTCCGTACTTAAATGGTTGAATTAAATACCCTCTCGCTCCAAATGTATTATCCACAATTACTGGTATTCCTGCTTTATGTGCAATATCACTGATTGCTTCAAAATCTGGAATGTTAAATTTTGGATTTCCCACAGATTCAAAATAAATAGCTTTAGTATTTTCGTCGATCAATTCTGCAAAATCTTCGGGATTATCACCGTTAACAAATTTCACATTAATTCCCAAACAAGGAAGTGTAACCTATTTAAATACATATATAATTAACATATTTTTCTTTTGCAAATAATTAAGTAATTTACCTTAAATTGGTTGTAAGATCCACCATAAAGATAACTTGAAGAAACAATATTATCACCAGCAACGCAAATATTCATGATTGCCATAAATTGCGCCGCTTGTCCTGAAGATGTTGCAAGAGCTGCGACACCTCCTTCAAGTGCTGCCATTCTTTTTTCAAATACGTTTAATGTAGGATTATCGATTCTAACAAATAAATAAATTTTTTAGAAAAAATCTAAAGGAATACAGAAAAAAAAAGATTTATCGTCATTGGAAATATTATACCTGCTATAAACATGTCCAGTTTCCTTCATACTAAATATTGCATTTGCATTTTCAACATTTTTAAAAGTGAATGAAGTTGTAGCATAAATTGGTACAGCTCTTGCATTTGTTGTGGGATCTGGTTCTTGTCCTGCATGAAGTTGAAGAGTTTCGAAATGAAGTTTTTGCAGTGCCATCGAAAATTACGCGTTTAGAAATTTGTATTGAATTAAAATATTCCTGCTCCTTTTATAACATGGGCGGGTGATCGTACTTAAACAAATTTAGAAAGGTTTAAATGCCCGATCTGACAATTATCATGCGATTTCTTGATTTCTTTTTTTTTTTTCTTTTTTATAGAGTTGCTTATATCAATCAATATTTCCACAACCGAGCATAACGTGAACATTCTAATAAAAAAAATTTGTTTTTCAAGAACCATTAAATAAATTAAATAAGTTTGTTTCATCATATATGCACTGGAAGATAATTAGATTTTGTTGTCAAAATCATCTCAAAAAAAAAAAATATTTCCTAGACGATCTTCGGGTGTCTGAATTGAGACAACTTATTTACAATTTCGTTAACCGTCAACTTATTTAAAATTGTATATTTATATTAAATAAATTATAATACTAAACTTTAACTTATTTATTTATACATTTTTTTTTTTTTATTTTAATAAATATTATGTTTTAAAAATATTTTTATGACTAATTCTAAAAAGTCTTACTGCGCTACTTATATTAAATCTCCAATTTCTATCAATAAATGTTCTATTTAAAATTTTGTGGCTCATTTAACTTATTTATTAAATCTTGTATATCCTTTTATTAAATTTTAATTTATTTGATTTAAATTTTTTGGCTTATTTATAGGTTCAGTTCAAAGTAAGCTTAGATTTTTATAATTTAGTAAAAAATTATAATTGTATTTTATAATGAAATATGCAAAAAAAATGACATTGTTGTCGACCATTATTGAAATATTTTATTTATTTTTTTTTTGTCAAAAAAAATAGGTGGTGGTAAATTATTGATAAACATGTACATTAATTTTTTTTTTGTTTTATTTGCAATAAAAATTTCTAAAATAAATAAATATATCACTATATTTAGTAAAATAATAAATCGTATAAATTAATTATACTAGTTCAGTTCGGTTATCATATTATTAAGTCTGTGTTAAGCTGAGCAAATATTTTAATACATGAATTTAAGTCAGACTGGGTTAGGCAAATTTAATAATTCATTTAAATCTGGGCTGAATTAGACTTCAAAATTTAGACTTATGTAGGTCTCTCTAATTTAACTTATTTATTAAAATATTTTGGCTTTTTTGGCTTATTTATTAAATTTTTTTTTGGCTATTTAAATTTATAGTATTTATTTTATTTTATAAATTTATTATTTAATTATTATTTTACAAATACAAATTTTTATATTTACTTTTAATTTTATTTTATATTATTTTATATTATCAACTTCTGCTATTATTATTAATCAAGAACATATTTTTGAATAAAAAATTATTTTGTAATCTGATTTCAATATAATGATTCAATTCTTTTAATATAAGATTTAAAGAAAAAGCATTTATTAATGAAGTAACATATAAAGATATAATTCAAATATTATTATTAGAAAATAGTAATAGTTTATTATATAATTCAAAATGACATTCTTAGATTAAAAATAATTTTATATTAAAACTTATTAGTAATGATTATATTGTATGTAAAAATCCTAATATTTGTACTAAAGAATCTATGAAAAAAATCAGGGTAAAACTAATTTTAATCAAAAAAACAAGTAATTATTAATTTATTATTATTTAATTATTTAATTTAAAATTAAATTTTAATAAAATTTTATTATTTAGATAAATCTTAATATTTTAAAACTAGAAATAATGGGAATATTAAATATATTTTATATATTCATAATCATTTTTTTGGCTAAAGCTATTACATCAAAATGCAATTGAAGTAACTGAATATTTATTTGAAATTTTTACAGAAATTAGTCTTCTACTATATTAGAATTTTAAATATCTTTAATATATATTATATTTTAATTTTAGCAAATTAGTTCAAATATAACCTAAAGTTTAATTTTAGTTTTTAGCAAATTTGCAATAATTTAAATAATTGTTACATTTTTAATTTTGTTAAAATAATAAATTTTTAGAAGTTATACTATGTATTTTAACAAATTTATACTTTTTGATATTAAATAATTTTTAATATTATATTACTTTAATTATAATATGTATCATTTTTATTTTATAATATAAATAACAAAATATAAAACTAGTTTATCTATAAAACTTTTATTTATTTTTATTTAACATTGAAAAACTTAATGAAATAGAATAAGTTTTATACATTTATGATTGATAAATGTATAGTATTTTGTATATATAGATAAAAAGCTATTTTTAATAATGATTATGATGAATTAAGGTTTAATAAATATTCTGAAAATTTTTAAAATATAAAATGAATAATTAAAAGTAATAATGTTATTTATTTAATCTATTTCTAAATCTAAAAAAGTAAAAAATATTTAGAAAATTTAGAAAATTTGCTATCACTAAAGATGAACACTGCAATTAAAAAAATAATGTAATTGTATTGCAACTTGTAATGCAATTAAATTTTCTTATATTGTAATTAAGTTGTAACTTAATTAAAATTTGAAAATAATTATGAGAACCATCTTTAGCTACTACTATCATCATAATCATTGTTAAATATACCATATCCTAATTTTTATTTTAAACAAATAAATATTTATATTAATTAAATACTAAATATATATAAAAGTATATAATTATAAAAGTAATTAGAAAAGAGATATTTTAAATAAATTTTCAGGTAAAATATTATTTAATTTTAAAAAGTTTAATAAGAAAAAAATAATTTAATAAATAATTATTGAATTAGAATAGTTTATTGATCATTTTAATAAGAAAAACAATTATAATTTTTTTGATAATTTAATTATTTTTTACAAAATAATTATTTTATAATAATCTTAGAAATGTATATTTGATTAATTAATTATGAAAATTTTATGAGTAACTCTATTTACTATATTTTCATGTTCATTTTAATTTATCTTTTTAAATTATATTCAAATTGCTATTTTTAATTTATAAAATATTAAATTTATACTAAAATTTTATTATAATAATAATTATTATTAACTTATTTAAAAAATATTCATATTAAATAATTAAATGAGTTTCTTAATATTAATAATTCATTATATAGAGGATTTTAAATGAAACTTACTAATAAAATTATTTAAAATACATTTAAGCAAAAATAGTATGTAATTAATAATATTTTATAGGTTTATACAATCTTAAATTACTAATAGATAAAATTCTTAAAGTAATAATCAAAATATTATCATAATAAAAATTATAATAAATAAGATTTTACTAATGTATTTTATTAAGTTAAATAATATTATATAATTTTAATAGTTTAATTATCTATTTTTTTCTAACTAAATCTAATAAAATATTTTTTAAATTACCATTTACTATATAATTAATTATTATTATATAATTTAAAATATTTAAATTTTAAGTAAATCTATATAATTGAATAAAATATTTAAGTAAATATTTTTTTAATTACATAATATTTATCCCTTAAAGCATAGGTATAAATTGGCTATAAAATATTATAGAAAAATTATAATATTTTAATATCTAATGATTA